AAGGGGGGCTGGGGGTGTGAAAACGATGAGTACAGCGGAGAGATGATAGACAATGAAGACAGAGAGAATGGGGACGTGATGCGTAGCCCTGGCATTAATTGTCAGGTTCTTACGTCGGTCAAAGTACACTCCTCGCCGTCATCGACATTTGGGATTGTGGTCTTGCCCTGAGAGACGAAGTAGTAATCTTGGATGTTGTTCGACAGGCAGCACATCTCTGTATCGAACGAGGATCAAAAAACGGTGAGAAGTCTGATAATTAGGGTGGAAGAGGGTACACGCAACAATCGACTCTCGCGGATTGGACTGGTGGACGTCGAGGTGTTAACGTAGGTTCCGCTGCAGTCTTTGGCGCAAACATTTCCTACTCGCTGTCGCTACCTTTGCGAAATAGTCTGAGTATCGCTGAGCTTGCAGATACAGTGCTAACTTAGTTAGGTAATGCTGACCCTCTACATCGAGTAATAATAGAATATTTAAGTAGGGCAACTCCGAGCGAGATGGCTTGATCTCGTTTAATTGAATATCTGTGTTTTTAATTAGTTTTTGTATATTGAATCTTGCAGTTAACTCTTTTTCTTATCTGCATTGGATTGCATGAATATATGTATATTTTTAGGTATTAATCCTTGCACTCGAAAGCTTTTCACTGGAAACATTGAATATTCGATGAGATATAGACGGTGTCCTTTGAAACTGATTAACGAGAAATAAATAAATTATGAAGTTATTTTCTTCCAGTATTCCACGTACTGCTGCATTACATAAATATTTAATATTATATATAAAACTTTATAATTTTGCTATGTCGAATCAAGTGGTGACTTTGCTTTTGAGTGCAAAGGGTTAACACTAGAATTACCGAACACTGAAATTGACTTGAAATTTCTGTATAGAAACTCGAAAAGTGCATCTATTGAGACTTTAACTGATTCGTAATTTAATTTACGTTTTGCCAAATAAATTTCTTTAATAACTCTCACTCACCACTTGATTTAACACTGTAAAACTATAACATTTGATATTTAACATTATACCTTATATAACGCATCAATTTGAGAAATATTGAAATAAAATAGTTCCTCAATGTACGTGTGATTTCTTATTGAGTTAATTTCATAAAGTATCGCCGTTATCTCATCTGAAAATATTAACATATTTCTAGTGAAAAACTTCCAACTACAATGGGTTAATAATCATAGATAAAAGAAGTCAGGAACGAGTAATTTTGACCTGTTTAGTAATTCTAGTGTTAATGATATTTGTGTAGTAGTTCTTTTAAGTAGGTCATCTCTCCCTGACTTATCCTAAGATAATTAACGTAATTCTTCATTAGTTCATTATTTGGTTAGTTCCTGGTTTGTATTGGGTCTTCGAAACTGACTCCTAAGTTAGCAGTATGCTCCAATTAATTCTGTAACTCATCCGAGGAACAGTGTGAAACATTACTTGTCGATGACTTCATGACTCTCCTCCGCCTATAGACGATACATACTTTCGGACTGAACAGATACTACGCTGTTTGAATGAATGCTTTGCATTATTCGATTAGATTTATATACGTTTATATCATTGAAGTAGTATGTTAATTAATAACGATGGAATCGACATGCTCACCCTTCAAACCGTTGACAGAGCCGGACATCATTTGGTAGAAAATGTGGTAAGAACGTTCCAGAGCCTGTTGGGAGATGACACGGGCTTTCTCGAGTAGATCTATGTAACAGATGAAATTTGTTTTTCAAATATCTTGTGAGAGAAGTGGGAAAGGTGTCCTTTATCCTATTTCACGCGCAATCATCAATATCATAGTGTCTTTATTATGAAATTTGGAAGCAAAGTTTAAAAATGCAATGAACATGTAACGAGATTTATAAGGATTCTTTCAGAAGCATTAAATAATCAATTTCTTCAGAAACTCGGAGCACAGAAATAAAATCATTTGATAAGTGAAGATACATGTAGATATTTCATGAACAAAATGGTGAAAATTGAAAAAGAAGAAACAAGAATTAGCCTGCATTATTTGATATTACTGTAACTTTAATCAAAGTATCGTTTATGGTTCATTAAAATGATATTAATGTTAAATAATGATTACCATATTTTGTTTTCATAAAATGTCGATGGTAGTCATGAATATGTAATTCAATAATTTAAGTTTGCTTTTGTACTGAATGTACTTTAGTTTGGTATAATATAATTTCGCATAATATAGTCATTTTTAGCTAAATAAGTAACGCATTATGTGACGATTACATGTTTTTCCGTCGTTATTTCGAGATCAGTAGTTGCATTGCCCTCGAAATAAGTAATGATGCAACATGCTTCTTGGATGACGCAACATGGCTGACACGAAAGTGTATAAAGTCAAACCAAACGTAAGCTTAACGATTGAATTATAAAAATAATCAGCATAAGCAAACGGAAACGAAGCCAACTACGTTTCTTTCTAAATGGATCTATTAATCTACATTTACATATCTATAAAGCTACTATAAAACGCATGGTTATGTTGCACGTAACCATCACTTAAAAGATATTTAATGGCTCATCCTAATCATAGTCTATAAAAAAATATTAATTGAACGTCGCGTATTACTTTATAATTGACAACACGTCATTGTTATTTAATTCCTTGCAGCAATTTCTATCTTTATCGCTAAGACGGTAACAGTTGTTCTTATAACAAGTCATTAAACACTTTTAAACGGTAGTGTATATTATATGCGTAATTTTGCAGAAAATCATCATCAGTATATTTAACTAAATAATTAGTTTATAAGATTGTAGTCAATCAGAAAAATCTACAGATAGTTGGTAATTGAAAATATGAGAGAAATAGACAAATTAGAAACGTAAAATCGAGAAAGTTATTATAATGTTAGCAGGAGTGTATTAAGTGTATAAAATATATTATTATATATTAAATATTATATACTATATATTATTATTAATATATTAAATATATTATACTATAAACTCTGAGAATTCATCTAATTTAAATTAACAATTAAATAAGTATTCATGAAATCTCTTAAGTACATAGTCTTTTGTGAATGACTGAATATTGTGTTACATAAAATCCTCGTAAAACTATTAAAATCTAGAAATAATGGTCAAACGGAAACTTACAAGTCTCGATATCAGCACCAGCCAGTTTACCAGACGGACCGAAGTGGATACGGATGAATTTACCCTATTCCACATAGAAAACAGTAAAACAGCCATTAATTTAATGTCATCAACGTATTCAATTGTATTAGAAGTAGTTATTTTAAAATTATTGAAAAATTCATCAAATAACAATAAGATACTCGAATATTTTACGTTATAAGTTGATATAAGTTGATCTCATTGAAAATCATCAGCATTTCAATGTTTCATTTATTAACACTACGTTACTACGTTACTACTGTTACTACGTAACAGTCAAAATGACTGGTTTCCTCGTTTCGCAATTATTGATACCTTAAAGGCATTGAATATTCGAAATGATTTTATAAATAGTTTCACTTGAATACTATAATGAATATCTGAAGAAACCGAAAGTAATCTATGGTTACAACATTTATAGGGATTACATATCAATAGTATTAAATGCTCGATAGTTCTAATGTTAACAGTGAGAAGTTTGAATCTTATATACAAGTATAGAAAATGAAACTTACGAAACGCGAGGAGTTGTCGTTACGCACGGTCTTGGCATTACCGAACGCTTCCAGTACGGGATTGGTTTGTACGACCTGATCTTCCAGGGAACCTTTCTTTTGGTTGGCATCGTCAGCTTTCTTGGTCGACGCACCGACAGTAGCGAAGTACGCAATTACCTTCTTCGTGTTCTCAGTCTTTCCGGCTCCAGACTCACCGGTGATCAACATAGACTGATTTTCACTGTCTGTAAGCGGAAAACGAGTAATTAGACTCAACGGTCGTTAGTGTATTCTTTGGCTCAGAGCTCCGTCATTGCCTTTCGCGACATTAACTCTTTGCGGTCCAAAGTGCTTTTGGTTTCTCACTTTGAGGTTCACGTCGACGTTAGTTCATTCAATTACAGCTTAATATAACGCTCTATTTATTTATTCAAGAATATCTGGGAGCCATTGAAATGTTACCTTTAAACGGTATAATTGTGATACTACAAATAAATATAGAAAAAATTGTCAAAACAGGTAGAGGTTGCAATAAAGGGTCTGACTCGACATAGGACTGCTAGGGGTTAATAAGTTCGTTACCAGCACTTCTTATAACTAATAATTTTCATATGGAACAATTGTCTAGAAAGAGCTCGCGAAATCGAGGGATTTTTCTTTGAAAGGAAGATTTTTAACCCTAGTCGGACCACGATGCGACTTTGAGTCACATTTGAAGTTTTTACTGAAATTTTTTGATTATTTCATATTGCATTTTCAAGAGTGTCTTTGGGCTTTTAAAATTTGGACCCTATAAACAAGAACAATAACATTTTAAACATTCCTTTTATTCTCGTAAGTGATTGAGAGTCACATCGTGGTATGATTAGTTAGAAAAACACGTGGTACGATTAGGGTTAAATCGTCAAGAATAATCACTCCTTTGCCCAATTTTGCGTTTACAGTTCAACTGACTTTAAAAGTCTATTTACACCAGCCTAAATATTCATTGGAGAACAAAAGATGCATTTCCAACAATTATGAAAATCCACAAGAATTCTCTACTATAACTGTTCCCTGCTTAAAAACAATATCAATAAGATCCAAATAAATTTCCCCAAATCAATGAAGCATGAGTTCACTTTTAACTCGTTACTAATTACTTGCAATCTCACTATTAGCCCGCAGATAATTCTCGATTAACCAAAGTTCAGACTACAGTCAACAAATAAAGAAACACGTGACGATAACAAGGAGAACTTGAACAATAAAGAAGGTAATTTACGAACACGGTTAAGAACTGATTAACGCCTCAAGCATCATCAATACTCGATGAATAGAACATTTACGACGGCAAAGAATGCGTCAATGGTACTGACCCAATTCACGAAACAGAGAAACTGAGAAAACGAAGCCTATTTATATCTGTTTAGAACGGATGTATGTGCTTGTATCGAACTTCGACACCGTTTCTGACCGGCACTAAATCTTCCGAAGTGAATCACACGAATTTCACGTGTCAGGAGGTCGAGCCTAACAACGTCCGACCGATGATTTAACATTTGGCCGGCTTCCCTTGTCAGTCTCGAGTCTCGTCAGCCTAGGACCGCGGTTTCCAGCATGGGAGACTATTGCCAGGGTAGGCGTCAAAATTTTGAATAAAAAATTAGTGTTCATACCATAACGTCTAGAAATAAATAAACTTCATATCGTGAAGTAACAGTAGAAATTCACTGAAGTAACGTTTACTTTGTAATAAAGTTATTATTATTTCAAACGTGTCTATATTATTCTATCTATTAACACTAGAACCACCAGATGGATCAAAATGACCCATTCCTGAGTTCATCTTTTTGCAATTATTAACAGGTCTCTTTGAGAAGTTACTGAAAAATTAATTTAGCAATTCCAAACTGAATTGTAAATCAATGAAAGTCTCCATAGATACACTCTTGAAGATTTTATAGAGGAATTTGAGAAAGTCGATTTAACTGGTCGGTACTTCTAGTGTTAAAATATAAGGAGGCGCGGAGAAGTTGATGCAATGATATTATACGTACTGGTCAACATGTTCACGTACGCTCCGTCGGAAATGGCGAAGATATGGGGTGGCACTTCATTACGCCTCTTGCCTCGGTACAATTTCGCGCACCTGGACGTGTACACGGGGAATCTTTTGTAGGGATTAATGGCTACACAGAACAGGCCGGAGTAAGTCTGTAAAAGAGAATATCCGTTTGTGAAACGAGCACCTCAAATCGACGAGATTCGCAGGAACAGAAACGTAATGGACAACTTCACGATTTCTGATCTGTCGTTACTCGCAGTAATACGCTTTGTCAATTAACCCATAGCGTTGTCTTTTTTTTTCTGATTACAGTGTTATTTTACGATCGAGGGCTAGTGCAAGTACTTATTATTCTCTAGAGTATGTATATTCGACGGAATACATTAACTTAAAAGAATCATCCATATTCCTTAATATCCACGTATTTATTAGAAATCGTACGTGGAAACACGTTTCTATATTACGTAACGCGTACTACGTGAAAGAATTGATACTAGACCGATGGGAAATACCATTACATGACAAATCAGAAATCGAGTGATCGCGACGGATGCGAAATTTTATGCAGGTCTCAGCGAAAGCGAGAATTGCAGTGAAATTCCAGTGTCTCTCTGGTCTTTCTTCTATTTTAGAATGGAAAATTTTATTCAATTTCGAGAATTGTAATGAAATTCCAGTCTCTCTGGTCTTTCTTCTATTTTAGAATGGAAAATCATATTCGACTTCGAAACTTGCAGCGAAATACCAATATCTCTTACTTCTCTACCGTTTCTCTAGATTTCCTTCTATTTTCAAATGGAAAATTGTATTCAACTTCAATTGAATTCACAGTTTATACTATATTTAACGATTCTCGTGCGCTACTCGTGCATAAAAGTCCACATTCCAATGACAACACAAAATACATAGCGACTAACGAGGTACAAGTATAAATGCAGAGATTTCTCGCGTAGGAAAGAAACTCGTGTCTCAATCGAGAACTTTCTTCCCGCGATCAGCTGTTAATCTGCTGTAACGCAAAGGATGTACAAGATTTTTGCAAATGTCCACATTAAAACAGAAATCTTGCGAAAACTTTGAACTGGTAACAACAAATCACGCATGTACAGCGACGAGGCTAAAGGGATGAAATGAAATAATGTCGTGACACGTCTGAGTGTTTTCTACCGACATTCCTGAAAACAATCGAGAAATGATCATGCATTCACGGGGGGCAAAGAAACTGGATTATAATAAACTCGTCGATGATCCAACACCTTCGTCGGGCGAGTTAGAGGATCTGAAAAGTAATGAGACATCGTGGCTCGTCCAGGTACCTTCGATCAATGCCTCGATACTTTCGCATGCAAAGTTCCTGCTAAATGTATCTACTTATGCGCTTCATCTAACAAAGAAAAACGTGGCGGCACGTCCAAGTGCTTTATCCAACGTTTGCTGACACGAACGTGGCTCTGGATCAAGGCAGGGTAGTTGACGCGTTGACTGCCATGATGGTCACTGCGGTGACTTTTCAATCACTTCAATAACAATTGCATAACATGATCGATGTCGAATAAACACGTTTAACACGTTGGATGCCGTGGGGTCACCGGTGACCTCAACCAAATCGAATTACTATAGTTCACTCAATTATATTATTCAAAAACTTGTCTATACTATAAGTAATACCCAATGAGTAACATTCAATAGGATAAACCTAAACGTAATTCAATTACATGAGTTGATATTACATTATTTTCATTTTCTACATTTTTCTCGGCAAAATCGTGCGGCACTCGACGTGTTAACGCGAGCAAGCTGATAACAGTGCAAGGATTATGATAGCAAATGATACTCTATCTTTGCTACCAAAGAATTGCTCGAAACTTTCGTGGCAGTGAACGTGTCAAGTGAGAATGACGATTCAGGGGGAGAAAACGTGAACACCACGAGATCCTTGTTTGCAGCGTTCTTACGTAAATAAGTTTGGCGTAGTAACGTTGCTTCAGATTGTGAAGGACCGAAGCATCGTTCAGGTAAGTCAGATTCGACATGTCCTCGCATTTCTCGTACTTCGGCGGGTTCACCTGCTGCAGCTGGTCCTTTTTGAAATCCCTGGTCTGTTCCCCGTGGGAGAAGAAAAGAACGTTAGCGGTCGATTGAATGTTTGCGCACTTACGTAGATTAGTTTGCTGTAGTAACGCTGTTTCAAGTTGTGCAACACGGACGCCTCGTTCAGGAACGTCAGGTCCGCCATGTCCTCGGACTTCTCGAACTTCGGCGGGTTAACTTGAGACAGCTGATCCTTGCGGAACTGTTTCGTCTGTACGGGCATTCTTTTTCAATATCTCTGATACTACGTTGCACTTCGTGGCTCTAGGCTTCTCTAATATCTCTAATCATCTTCGGGACAACGTTTAAACGCTAGGAACTTGCAATGTTCCATTTGGAAGGTGTCCCTTAGATAATTATTCTCGCCAATTGCTCTTTTATATTCGGAGTACCGTTGGATATTCCGTTATAACCACTTCGAATTCAAGAAAATTCTAAATGTTCACTCTTTTAACTCGAATTCGTAAAATCTCGGTATACGGTCTTACAGTTTCATTTCGTGCAAAATGCAAAGGTAACGTAGGAGTTTATGTGCAAATTATTCTAAAGATTGTATTGAAAAGTAATTGTTAATTAATGAATTGTTTTTGATCGGTAGTTTGGAGATGTAGTAGTGCGAAACGAAATTGTGTAGACGAGTTCTGTCCACTTTGGAACGCGAAGATGTTCGTTTAATTGATTTTGGTGGGCTATTTTGAGATCGGTTGTAAATGTAGAGATAAGTTGATGGACGAAGATCATTCTTGTAAGTCATCGATATGGGGAGCATCTACACCTCGACTCGGTCTCTTTTAATATACACTTTCATACGTGTCTCCCTCCATTCCACTTTCGGCGCTCTAAAAATATGTTGACCCATGTTTCGAGAAGTGGCGTTTCAATTTATTATTACCGGTGCCGACGACGATGCTAACAATAGCATTTCAGCGACGGTCGCCGGATGACAAGGAAACCCGGCAGGGTTTGCTGAACCATTATGTAACAAAGCATGTAGAACAGCGAAATTCTGCGCGAGATTACGTCTCGGCGGTCGCTTTTCTCGGTGGAAATAACGGAATCGAACGGATGACGGACACGAGTCGTTTTTCTACGATCACTTCGGAATGTTGAACGATTTTTGAAATATCAAACGATCTTCGAAATATTAACCGATTCTTCGACAAATATTGCCCGCCAATCCATTCGTGCAACAAATATTCTAACGAATTAAAGAAAACATCGCCCTTTCATAAACTTTCCTTCGCAGATGGTTGGTTTATTAACGCAACAGTTCTCAAGAAGTTAATCAAAAACAAAACGAACGTAATTCATACGATCTTCAACGTTTTCGAAAAATGTGTCACTACATTTTCGTTCCACTGAGTGTCCTATTTACCTCTACACTGAAATCAATTCAAACATCCACGAACGGGTACCATTTTAGGTTTCAATACTACGCAAAAGGAGATTTCATTGGTTTAATATATCATTCACGAACATTTCGCGTGCAATCGATGTGCGCCGACTTACAATTCTTCACGTAAGAACTGAATTGTTTATGCTAATAATTAAAAATCCTAAAAAACTGTTCTACTTTGTTCTTATTCCATTGAACATAGTTTTCGTCTTTAAAACGGAGCAAATCGGAACGCGTACACATAGGGGCAGCTTTATAATGTACAGTTTTGCTTTCGTGGCTTATTTTTGTATCGTAAAAAAAGGGAACGAAGCCAATCGAACAGTAGAATGTTAGATGACAGCAGACGCTAAGAACTACCGAACGGCTTACCCCTTTCTAAAAATAGAGCAGTCCGAAACGACGAGGCTCCGGTGTTCCTGTTTTCCTTTTTATACACAGGAAGCCGCCATTGGTCTTTTCTTAGAAAAGGAAAACTACGTACGTCGGCGTCTTATCTTTACGTGACAACGGTCCCGGGTTGCACGATCATCATCGCGCGTTTCCATCGGTTGCGTCACGAGCCGTGACAATCGATTTTCATCGATTACAACACGAACCTCTCGATTTATAAGCGATACAAGGAACCGGATCGAAGCCAATTCAATCGGAGAAGACGAAAATATCCTCGTAACAGAAACTCGAGTTTCAACCGATCGAATTCGAGAGGCAAAAGCTATAACCGAGCACGTCCGCGCGGTGCCAAAGAGACCAGTGTAGAATTTCTTTTGTTCTATTTCAAATTGAAAGGAAATTAAAATAAACTATTCGGGTCTTCTACCTCTCTCCGCGACATTTAAATTTAGAATGTTGTCTGATTTACTCGCGGGAAATCAGGAACGCCTGTAATCAATTACGAAGGGGACAGAAGAGGATTTCAATGGACGCGAGACAAGTTTTTTCGAAGAAGGAAAGTTTCTCGATAGAAGGGAACCGAATTGTTCGGTTCGATGTGCCAGGAATAAATACGTAACGCGACGAACCTGTTAAACGAGGGAAACAGTTTCAGCGAAGTGAACAGGGATTTTTCCGAATTCCGGAGAAGATTGTTCGGTTTTTTTCCTCAGAAACGCGAACGAATGAATTCCAAATTATAGAGAGAAAGATTATCAGTGAAGGAAATAGTTTCTCGGAATCGCGAGGAAAGGAAATAAAATTGTTCGGATTGTTTTCGAGAACGACCGCGATACAATAAACTTCGAAGTAAGAAAAGGAATAATATCGAGAACAAGTAGGAACGCGACGGATTTCAAAATGAAGAAACAATTTCATTGAATTGAAACTATTTTTCCCGAAACTCGAAAGAACAAAAATTATATTAATTGATTTATTTTGGACAAATAGGAACGCGAATGAATTTGAATTTAAGAAATAAAGTACTTTCAATAGAACGAAACTATTTTTCTCGAAACTGGAAAGAAGAAAACTACATTACTCGATTTATCTATGTAAAATAGGAACGCGAATAAATTCGAATTGAAGAAATAAGGTACTTTCAATGGAACGAAAAGATTTGTTCGAAAACACGACCAAAGGGAAGAAGATTGTCCGGTGTACTCGTTATAAACGGGAAGAAGAAAAATTACCTCGCCGCCAGGCAATCCGACGCTGACAATATCACCCTTGGTAGCCTTGATCTCACCAAGGAGATATCCTTCCTTCTCATCGGGTACCCAGCACGCTTTTTTCGCATCGTACGGTTTCGTCTGATCGATTCTCTTCTGCTCGAGAGAGACGAAGAGGTAAGGGGTTGGATCGGGATCATCTCCCTCTTGCTTCTGTGGTCGCGGCATCTTTGGTGGTTCCTTTTCCTAGTTGAATCGATCTACTAGTACTAATGACCCCTTGTTCACAGGAAGGTCTGCGCGCCTTCTACGTCGTTTTCCCACGTGTCGAGGGGTGGGATCTCCTTGTTGCTTCGTTTCTTCGCTCCTCTTCTCGTTCTTCGGAGAATTCGGCGGCGGACGGACTACTTCTGGCGGCACGTTCTGAGCGGCCCTGTACAACAAATTGTTATGCGATCAGTGTTGTTATTATTAGGCCGGGTTCGCGCGCGCGTACTACCATCGCCGGTTTGCTACCTGCGAGACCGTTTTAAACCGCTGCGTGGGCTGCCGGGTTCAACCCGTTTCTATATTCTCGTTAACGATCTTGAAATCAACGGAATATAGAACTACGCGAATGAAAGTTCTGATCGAATTTCGATCAAAAATAATACGTTTCGTTTTGAACTTTGAAACTTTTGAGGGTTCTTGTGAAATTTCGGTCGAAACGAATACGATTCGTCTTGGATTTTCAAATTTTCACGGGTTCTTGTGAAAGTTCAGGTCGAATTTCGATCGAAACGAATACGATTTGTCTTGGATTTTCAAATTTTCACGGGTTCTTGTGAAAATTTAGGTCGAACTTCGATCGAGTCGGATACGATTCGTCTTAGACTTCGAAATTTTGTAGAGTTCTTGTGAAATTTTTATCAAATCGAATACCATCATTTTGAACAAAACTTCCACGAGTCCTTTTAAAATTTCAATCGGATTGAATAGAATCATTTTAATTTTATAGATAGAGATTAGAACTGTGATAATCGAGATTTGCCCACGCAACGATTGAAACGTTTATTTCGTTAGAAGTGTGTCGTTAAGTAATAGTACTGTTTATTCTACTGTTTTCATAGTATTTCGTTAAACATTCTTTATTTCTCGTTATTAATCAACTTCCACGTAGATCAAATGATTCTTATATCTTTCGTCTTGTATAAAGTGAAATATTCGGTCTCTTGGATTTCGTTGCAACGGTTACACTGCACGAGCCAACATTTGAAACGTAACCGTGTTCTGCCAGTATTATTTAACGGTATCCAACTGTTTCATTAAACAAATAGACTGCACTATACATTCAAATTATTCTCGTAATAGAGACAATATTTCTTGAGTTACTTTCCCCCTAATCTGCAATATTTTATTTTACATGATTATATACGCTATTATCAATATGAAGGAATTCAGAAACTTAAATCTTCCAACATACTGAATTCAGAAAAACGAAACTAGAAACCTGTTATCGACAATTTCACTTCATTTATTACAATAATTCCAATTCATTTACTCTCTAAATAAATCTAAACTCCAATCCTTATTCCAATTTCAACAACAAAAAGGAAACTTATACTTTAACTATAATTAAACAAAATCAAAGACTGAAGGGGTCAAGAAGTAACTACTTAAATTTCTTCACGCGACCTATATACTTGAATGTATTATAATCGCTAAAGTAATCCCACAGAAAAATGTCAAAAATAATCTAGAGCTCGAGAAACACTTGAAATATTCTGTATCGCCAGTGCATGTAACACGTTCTTATTATAAATTGTGCTCGTAACCAAAAGTGGTATCGAATACTATGAAAACCTTCTACGCCCGTTACAAAAGAGAAAAAGGAGACCATTCTTCTGTCAACCGATTTCAAACTATAATCTCGTTTCAGTCGGTTCGTCAACTTTCGTTTTCCTTGTAAAACTTGCTGCGCCTTATCTTAACACAAATACAGCGAGAAGTTACCCAAAATCCCTATGTATCTTCAACGAAAATCAACCCCTTGTCCTGATTACTTTCCTAATTGCGCTCCACAAATATACTTAATTGTTCATAGTTCATTATAGAAGGAAAATTCTACACATACTCTATGTCGTTTAATTAACGTTTACTCAGAAGTATCATAATTAATAATAGAAAAATAATATTCAATTCGGACCCGGGAGAATTGAATGATATTTGTTAAATTTTATTTGAAATCTTCACGGGTCTGACACGATATTGGCAAGGGGTTAAACATCAGAAAATAAATCTAATTAAATCAACGAAAATTTCGAATTAATCGAAAACCTCTAACGGTAATCAACGAGTTCAGCTTCGAAAAGAAAACGAGACAATCCCGATACAACGTGACTGTACAATAGAAAACACCGTTCAATTTCCAAAAAAAAAGCAGCGAAAACTAGAAGAACAGGCAGCCTAAACATGGCGATGCGAAACGGAAGATCGATCGTTGAAACAAGACACCGCGTTTCGAACAGATCCAAGAAAAGCAACATACTTCCGGAACCGCGGACGGAAACAAAATGGCGGCGCACTTTGACGTTCTCTACGAGGTACAATAATTCCCGAACACTTTGTCCCGAGATCAAGCCTCGAATTTCAAAACCATTCGAAACCCTCTGAAAAACGCGAAACAGAAATCTTCACTGAAGAAGGATGGAATCTCAAATCCGAAACTGGAGCAAACCGTATATACTTAACCCTTTGCACTCGTAAGTTTTTCACTAGAGATATTCTAACATTCTAGAAAAAGACTTGTTCTTCGAGATCTTTAGAAATTCGAAGAGAAATCACGTGCACATCGAGGAACAAAGCTTATCTGAATATTTCTCAATTTAACAAATTAACAAATTAACAAATTAACAAATTTCTCAAACTTCCTCGAAAGTATAATAAATACCAAATCTTATAGTTTTACCGTATGGAGTCAGGTGAGAGTCACCTCTCGAGTGCGAAGGGTCAAACTCCCCGAAGAAAGAGAATTCCAAAAAATTCCGAAAAATCAAAAAAAGAAGAAATATCTTCGAAATTCGAATTCCGTTAGCGGCACACTTCGCGACAAATCGGAAAGCGGTCGGCCGGCGAGCTGCCGATACTATCGAGAGGCTAACCGCCGCGACGTTGCTGGTTCTGTTAACACCTTTGTACAGTTGCACTGATTTCCCGACATTCAACACCAATGACGTCACCGGTTGATCAAACTCACGCTCGAAGAATTCCACTGCGTTTTTTGTGTCCACGGACGTATTTGGGTCGGGGAGGAAGTTACGGTTGGCCGCGGGGGATGCCCCGTTAGGGGGAGTCGTCGACGGCGTCGTCGAGGAGAGAAAAGAAAAAGAAAAGAAAACAAGAAAGGTTTGTATCACTGGTTCCCGTTCACTAAGGCAAAGGGTTCGCGCACAAGATCTCTTCCGTTTCAGCCGCGTGTGCGGTGTCGGTTCCTTAGCGATAGGATAAGGACTACACCTCGAAACCAATGTCAGTCACAGTTCGAGGCTCGGCTCGACGAAATCACTAGCGAATTATCAAACTGTATCCACAATTGCGTTCCGTCCCTCTGAGGAGGATGTTGGAACGATAATATTACCGGTCGGTGAACAATCACTTCGATTCTTCTCTCTCTTTCTCTCTCTCTCTCTCTCTCTCTCTCTCTCTCTCTCT